GGAATTTGGGGGTGAGGGCTAAAGATAATTTTTCTCTCGTTTCCCACACAAGGAGCTGGTTTGAAGATGAGCAGTTGAGAACAGCAACTGCTTTACCTCATAATAAACAAGTGTACTAAGTTCTTAGTATTAAAATATATGCGCAGAAGTAGAAATAATGATTTGGTGAAAGATTCATGAAGGATAAATTTATCAATGGCGGCTAGTCATAATAGCTGTATTACTCCTGACCTTTTAAGACAATATGTTTTTCAGCATAATTGCTGCAAACTCCTTTGGGAGAATACTCTTGTATATATGTCCTGCTGGTAGACATCATAGGCCTCTAGTGGGCCAGTATGGAAACAGGATACTGGGTTAAATAGGTCTTTGGGTTGATTCAGCAGGGCCTTTCTTCTGGTTTGACAGATGTGATAAACTTGCATGTGAACAATAACCTCCAAAGTGGTCACACCTTTGGTTTATATGAAACTCGTAAGATGACTTTAAAATAAGATGACTATTACCACAAGAATTATTTCAAAGCGACAAGTGTTTTTATTCAGATTTCCTGGTAGAGATGGGGGAACTTCCTGGTATTTCCATCAACTTTTAATAAGTTTGTCTCTATTCAGAACTGTAGAAAATTCTACTTATTACTTGTTTTTTATTATACAAAGTTTTGTGCTTTGTATGGAAAGCATACACATATGTTATGCTAAGGGCAGAGATGGAAAAGCAAGAAATGTTTGCTTTAAGTTTATATGTGATGAATTAACAGAATAATAGAGTTGCAAGGGACCTTGGAGGTCTTCTAATCCAATCAAGCAAGAGACCCTATACCATTTTAGACAAATAGTTGTCCAATCTCTTCTTAAAAACCTCCAGTGTTGGAACCCCTATAACTTTTGGAGGTAAGCTGTTCCACTGATTTAATTGTTCTAACTGTCAGGAAATTTCTCCTTAGTTCTAAGTTGGTTCTTTCCCTGATTAGTTTCCATCAATTGCTTCTTGTCCTGCCTTCAGGTGTTTTGGATAATAGGTTGACTCCCTCTTCTTTGTGGCAGCCTCTCAAATATTGGAACACTGTTATCATGTTACCCTTAGTCCTTCTTTTCATTAAACTAGACATACCGAATTTCTTCATATGGTTTAGCCTCCAGTTCCCTAATTGTTTTTGTTGGTCTTCTCTGCACTTTTTCTAGCATCTCAATATCTTTTTTATATTGTGACAATCAAAACTGGATGCAATATTCCAAGTGTGGTCTTACCAAGGCATTATAAAGTGGTACCAGATCTTGATTCTGTCTCTCTTGATGCAGCCTAGGACTACATTGGCTTTTTTAGCAGCTGTAATACATTGCTGGCTGATATTTAAGTGATTGTCCACTAGGACTCCCAAGATCTCTCTCGTAGTTGCTACTGTTGAGCCAGGTCCCACCTAGGTCCCATTTGGTTTTTCTTGCCTAAATGTAGAACCTTGTTTTTGTTACATAATTTATAGAAGTTCAATTGAGATGTGCTTCTGTAAATTATTTGTATTGTTATGTATTTCTAATATACTTGACAAACATGACTATTTTATTTTGGAGTATCTTTCCTGTGATAATAAGTAGTTTTAATACCAAGTGGATGAATACAGACTTTGGGGTTACATAAACCTACAAAAAGCTTTGAATAAAATTCCAAGAGCCCCCCCTGAACTGTTATTAAATATATTGGAAATTTACTCTGCGTTAAATCAATAAAATAAAATGCCTTTTTTTTTTGCTTTTAATTGCCTCCATCCAACATGTCACTCAAAAGGTAAAGGCCTTTGCCCTCACCCCCAAATGTATAGTCCTGTTTTATGCACTCAGATTCAAATTCTTGCATTTGAAATTAGTATAAGGCTGGGTTTCCTGAAAAACCATGTTCATTTATTACTCCCTGAGCATACAAATTTAGATAAACAGGATCATCTCTGTTTCTCAGGCAATAATTAATTTGTATATTAAATATTTACATCACAATTTAAGTAGATGCTGGAATGCTACAATAATAAACACGTAAAAACAAACTATGATAAAAGCAATAACATCACAGTATTGCCTAGACAACTAATATACTGCAAGTTGATGGTGACTTCAAGTTGATCTGAACTCACTGGTTAGAATTAAAATTAATATTTTCAGTCAGCACTTAAATGAAACAATGTTGGTGTTAGACTGGCTTCAGAATGAGCTATACCCAGAGTGCTAGAGTTCACACAATATATTTCAGTAGTGTTTGAGGTAACATGGCAACATTAATCAGAATGTCTTAACAGAATTATTCATCTTTTATTGGTTCATATTTAAAGTGCTGTGAGATACTAACACTGCTGTCCCACTGGAAATGAATTAAATTGTGTCTATATTGGGATTCAGGCTTTCTGTGAAAAGAGAAGAGCAAACATGAAAACTATAGAAGAGCAAACATAATTCTATAAATTTCTGTTCCGAAGTAAATCCCTTTGAGTTTAATTGGACTTGATGAGCATCGGAATGCATTTTGATTTCATTTAAGTCGTATTTTCTAACTCCTTCTCCTGAATTTCTTCAGAAAATGTTAATTTTCATTTGTCATTACATAAAAATGATTACACCAATTAAAAACATACATAGGTACATACTCTTTAATTATAGTGCCTTTTTAGGTATATTACCATGGCCACTTCAGCAACTAAAATATTTCAGTTGTTTGTGGGTTTTGTATGCTGCTTGTCAAGTCTGAAGAAGTGGAACATCATCTAAAACGTATTATTTAAGAATGAAGGAGCAAGAAAAATGCCATGTTTTATGCTGTTTGTACTTTAATTATCTTTTTGTACTTTACTCAGGTATTGCTGATCAATTAATTTCTTCCGTATTTGAAAGAAAAAAAATAACTTGCCAAAATTATAAATAAATTTAGTTGTAAGTACAAATCTAAAGCCAGCAGGGGTGGGATAGGGGGTGGGGAGACTGGTTTACAGCAGATGTATTATATATTTTTGAAGAAAGAAAGAAAGAAAGAAAGAAAGAAAGAAAGAAAGAAAGAAAGAAAGAAAGAAAGAAAGAAAGAAAGAAAGAAAGAACAGTTCATGCCTTGCAGAATAAATCTCAAATATGGAAATAGATAATTTTCTTAAATGTCAATAATATACTTAAGTGAATAGCCTTCTCTTCTGTATTCCTAATAGGATTAAATGATATTATCTCTTTATCATCTGAATTTTTCTCTTTGCTGTTACTTAGTTAATTGTTGGAGCCTGTGCTAGTTAACCAGGTGAAACTTTCCATGAGAAAATCTAGCTGTAGAGATGATTAGTTCTCTTTTGATCTTGGTCAGTTTGGTTGAATGTCCAGTTTTGTCTATTTTTTCATCATCCCATATAATCAGATTTGGGTCCAGGTGGAAAGTTCAATTATATCCCTACCCTCAATTACCCTCTTCCAAGTCCCCCCCCCCTCTTTTCCTATAGTAGTCCCACCCTCCCACTTCCTTAGTTGGTTCTGTTAAGTCCCTTCAATCTCCTTTAGTTCTGGGAAACTGGAGCTACGCATTTGGAATAAGGAGTTTCTCTTGTTTATTACACATAAGTTTTTCAAAAATGACAAATGGATAATTCTGCTGACATAATTTTGAAATGGATTGTTTTTCCCTCCTGGTTTAAATGTATGTCCCTAATAATTATAAGTTTGTAGTAATAATAATTACTAATAATTTTTCAGTTTAAGACTGCCTATGAATTCTGAACTTGCTTTATCAGTTGCACTGTTTATTTATTAAATCAGTACCACTATGTCCCAGAAGAACCAGCCCATGGCTGTACAGAATAGATTTCATGAAAAGTAAGCAGCTCACTGTATTGTTTGCATGAATCTGGATTTGCTTAGTCATTATTGCTGAGCTGATTGTACTTTACCAAATGCAGCCTGGAGTTGTTTGGGTTTTGTTTGTTTGTTTGTTTGCTGCTCCCTTGTTAGCATGAATATTTCCATTTGCCTCAGTGGAAACCTAGAATTTTAGCATGCTAAAAATATTTTTGGACATCCCACGGAGCCATAGTGGAACAAGCTTTCATCAACTCGGACTGTATGAGACAACATACCAACAACCACCTTGACCAAATGTTTCTCCTCTTGCACCTCAGTTTCTGGGACAAATGACTTGACACATGGTTAAAAAATGGGGAAGTTAAAACAGGGGAAAAGATGCTTTAGTGAGTCAGTTAACAGCTGTGGGTTTTGCACTGACTGGTCGTGTGTTCTGAAATGAGGGCTCAGAATAAAACACTTTCAGATCGTGAAGGATTAAAGATACTGGTGGCTCTCTTAGGAGTGGTAGTTGGAAAATGTGGCCTCTCTCTAGCTAGCCCCAAAGCACTTTTGTTGTCTTGGGCTTGTCAGATAATGGGCTCTTTTGTATACTTCTGATATCTTAAATTAATGTTGAAAAGCTTAAAGAGGTAAAGGTTCCCCTGCACATGCGTGCTAGTCGTTTCCAGCACTGGGGGAGGTGCTTATCTCTGTTACAAAGCTGAAGAGACAGCGCTGTCCGAAGACGTCTCTGTGGTTATGTGGCCAGCATGACTAAATGCCGAAGGCGCACGGAGTGCTGTTACCTTCCCACCAAAGTGGTGCCTATTTTTCTACTTGCATTTTTACATGCTTTCGAACTGCTAGGTTGGCAGAAGCTGAGACAAGTAACAGGAGTTCACTCTGTTACGTGGTACTAGGGATTCGAACCGCTGAACTGCCGACTTTTCTGATTGACAAGCTCAGCGTCTTAGCCACTGAGCCACTGTGTCCTCTGTTGAAAAGCTTAGTAGCTAGCATATTAAAAAAAAAGAATCAACTCTTATTATGATTGAGTTTCCTTAAACAAGAAATTGGCTTCTTTGCAAGTATAACTTTGATGAGAACTTCTTTCCAGTTCAGAACCTGTAATCAACGTCATCGTCGTCTTCTTCTTCTTTTTTTTTTTTGCCTTCTCACTCTCTTCCCACCTGACTTTAGACATATGAAAATCCACGAGAAGGATGCAACGGGTGCCACAAGTACAACCCCTGCCTCTCCACTGAAACGCAGGCGCTTGTCCACCAAACGAAAATTCAGTCCTGAGACCGAGGCCGAGAAGGAAGAGCAGAGTCCAGCAAAGAAGGTCCTCTAGCCAAAAAAAAAATAAAAAATCCTGCAACTTATGAATTCAGTTAAATCATTTAAAAAGGGAAAGAAGGCAACATATAATAGAGCTTTAGAATAGCCCCCTCCCCAAACTTGGCAACTTTAAGACTTGTGGACTTCAACTCCATGGCTGGGGAATACTGGGAGTTGAAGTCCACAAGCCTTAAAGTTGCCAAGTTTGGAGACCTCTGCTTTAGAAGTTGTGCATACTTCTTATGAAAGTATTATGCAGTATTTTGGATAAAGACTTGTACTTAACAAAGTAACTAGTCAGGACAAGAAATAAAAACGTTGTGGGCTTTTCTCCAGCTCCTGTAGTTCCCAGGCAACAGAAGATGTTATGAAGATGTCTATTTATCTATGCTGATCTCCATTATTTACCTAAAGGACTGATGTTAAATAAATGATAGTGTATAAAACAGTATAACTTTGGATTATCTCCAAAGATTCATGGTAAAATATTAGTGAAAACCACCTCTGTCAACATGGCAACTTCAAACAATGTTTTGAGTTCTGCATTTTGATTCTTTGTACTTATTATTATTATTTGGAATAATTTCATTCCTACACTAGATTTGTTTGGAGTGAGTGACGATTGATTGTGATCCAGTTGTTTTGCCTGATAACTTAGAGAAATGAAGTAATTTCCTCCATATGTTCATATTCTGTGTAATGTGGAGTATCTCTTAAAGGGATAAGTTGGAGTAGAATGATAGAAATATCCAAACAAGTCAAAAGGGCTGGTTAAATAAAATTGCTTTGTAAGGAAATATTCACATTTCATAATGTGGAGGACTTTTTTTAATGGATTTCCAAATACAAAAAGAAATTCCTGGTTAATTTTGGAGTTTATCCTTATTGGTCCATATAGAGTAAGTCCCTTTTTGTAACATTTAGCCAAGGGATAAAGCAGTGAATTATTTACCAGCTGAAATATATTGCTTTCAAAAATTGTTACTTGAATTGCAGCCTGGGTTTGAAAATTTCTTCTTTTTTTAAAACCATGAACAGGTTGTGGAGGAACCACAAAATGGCGAAAGTGAAAAAAGGGCTGATGAAATTTATCGATGTCCAGTCTGTTTCAAAGAATTCTCTTGCAAGTATGGGCTGGAAACCCACATGGAAGTACATCCAGATACCTCATTGAGGTAAGAATAGAGCCATGAGATAGTTTGTGAAACACAAGATATTTCATGCTGATGTCACATGTAGCAAACCTGAGACACGTTTGAACTCTAAAGGGACCTGTTTCTAATGAAATGGGCTCTGCGGGCATTTTTAAGCATAATTATGAGGCCTCATGGCTGTTACCATTACTTTTACTATCTTCGTGACAAAATAAAATACATCTTGGGAGGCAAAATTTTGGCCTTGGAGAATTCTGGAAGCCCATACATCTTACAGTTTGCCAAGTTTGGGAAACTGTGGTATGGATGGTGTGATCTTTGTGCAATCAGGTCTCCCATGAATGTACTAATCTGTTCTCATTTTCTGTTCTCTAATCTACATGATACTGTTTGCACTCAAATTATAGTGTGGTGCAAGGCTGGGAATTAATCTAGCATAGAGTATCAATCAGTAGTTGAGAGACAGGTCTAAGATGTGTCTCTCAATAAGTCTCTTTGTGGCACTCAGAGACTTTGAGTTCCCATAGCACAATAGATTGTGCTAAAAAATGAGGTTGGGCAGTGTGAAGTTCAGATGTTGTAAGAACTTGGCTGTTCTTTTAGCAGGCCATATGAACCAACCTGTCACACGTTATAATTTAGCAGTTTGTGCCTAAGCTGTTATGTGAACCTGGTAATTGTGTTCTGTTACTCTGTTTGATTTAGCATGGAATGTGAACTTGATCACTTGTAACATTATATAATTCTAAGTTTCCACTTTCTAGGGGTTTTTTTGTTTGGTTAAGTTGGCTTTTAACAACAACAAATTCTCACATTTGAAAGTGCCATACAGTTTAATTTAGTCCATTGATGTGCCTAATGTAATTTTGATAATGTTAATGACATGAAATAGATCAGCAGTATTGGCAAACTAAATCTAACGTTGAAGGGATAGCAAGTACGTCATAATTTATTTTTAATTGCATCGTTCTATGAAGCCTCCTGAAATATTTTTGGCATAATAAGTCCTTGGGATTTAAGTGCACGCAGGATTATTGTGCAAATCAATAAAGTCTGAGAAGTGGCTGTTAGTCTTGCCTTTGAAAACTCTGCAAAGAGAGGCTGTCAGTTGACCAGGTGGATTCAATCCCATTCTGCTACTGTCAAATTAGCAAGTGAATAGGAAGGGGTTGATCAGTCTGATACTTGGCGAGTGAGCAATGCACCACTGCATTTTGAATGTAAATGTAAATCTCAAAACACATGCATTGATTAGGTGAGAGACTTGTCTTTTGGGGCGGTGGAAGGAAGCCTCTTTTGACGAGACACTTTGCTTTAGAAGATGTGACACTTTTAAAGTATGCATTTGCAATAATTACAGCTAAGGGCAGCCCTCTCCATGAGTGCTATGTGTGTGTCTGTATGCAAAATAATAGGGTCCTTCGTGGCACTGACAATGGGCTGCAAATGAGGTGCTTACCCTAGAATTTACTCTTCATGTCTAGACTCTTGTCCTATTGAAACAACCTGAAGCTAGCCACACTGGCTAGTTAGGGCAGAGGCATCTCTGACTGATGTCTTCTAGGGACCATCATCATCGCCACTAGAAGGTAGGCACAACACTGCCCTTTTCATCCTGGTTTCCCTCCTGCTAGGATTTAGTTAAGACTCTAGTTTTCTCTTCAGTCAGGCCAGCCAGCAGGGCTCCAGCTATTTCGGTGCATTTATATAGGAGCATGATATAATTAGCTGAACTAGGAAATGCCACATGGCCAATAGGGAAAAAAACAAGCAGTCTTTCACATGTTGGTTTTTTTTTTTTTTTCCTCCTCTGAAACTGCCCCATGCCTGGTTTGGTTTTCCTACCGAAGATATAAATGTTACTTGCCCTCAGCATTCAACAGCTTTCAGCAGTAGCAAAACTGAGTTACTCATAAAGTAATGATGAATGAGGATTTTAAATCATAGAATCAAGATTAAAGCCACTAAGACCATTCTGCGTAAGTGTTTTTAGCATATCCAGCAAAGAGGGACTTATCACTTTTGGGGTAATTCGTTTCATTGTTAAACTTCATATGGCAATAAAAAAGTTTTTTTTTTCCTAACATTCAGTTGGAATTTCCCTTCAATTTAAATCCATTATTATGTATTGTTGAATTTTTTTTAAGCAATGGAGATTAAGTATTGATTTTCTTCTGTGTGACATCCTTTTAGGTAGCCTCCTAAATTTCATTTACACACACACACACACACACACACAGAGCTCCCGTACATTTTCTCCCTCCTATTTTCCCCCTAACAACAGCCCTGTGAGGTGGGTTGACTGAGAGAGAGAGAGTGACTGGCCCAAAATCACCAGCTGGCTTTCATGGCTAAGGTGAAATTTGAACTCATTTTTACCTAAAAGGATGTTGCATAGAACAAGATCGGTTTTTGGATTACCATATTCTTCTTTCCTGTTCATCCTTGTTGCTTTCTCTGAACCTATTTCAATTTCATTGAATGCTCTTTAAAGTGCAGTGCCGGCATCTGGAAACTCAAAGTGAGATCTGACCAATGTTAGAAGTATTTTCTCCTGTGGTTTGGAAATTACACATCAATTGATCAGTTGCTTCTCTCTCTCTCTCTCTCTCTCTCTCTCTCTCTCTCTCTCTCTCTCTCTCTCTCTCTCTCTCTCTCTCTCTCTCTCCCTCTCCCTCTCCCTCTCCCTCTCCCTCTCCCTCCCTCCCTCCCTCCCTCCCTCCCTCCCTCTCTCTTTCTTTCTCCATCTCACACTGCTGAGTCATACTGATTTTTCAGCCATCTGCTACTCAGAAAACGTCTCCACACCTAATATTGCTTAACTTGGTACTCTATCCTGTTCAGACTATTTCAGGCTTCTACATGCATTACTTTTAGATTTGTCTTTTAAAAAGCTCAACTTTTCAGCCTTTTTCCCAGCTTATCAAGCTCATTTCTAAATTGTATTTTTGTCTTCTTAGGGTGTTAGGCATCCCTTCCACTTTTGTGTCATTTGCAAATTGGATAAGTATTTGCTTTACTTCATCCAATTCCTTAATAAAACCACGTTCAAGAATTCAGGGCCCATGATCAAATTTTAACACTCCGCTCATTTGATGAAGAACTGCTCTTTAAGTATGATTTTCAAACCCACCTATATGATCGAGTTTGTTTCATGTGATTTCGTGTGCCTTTTACTAGTCTGTTAGACAGTATGACATGAGACAGTTTATTAAATGCTTTGCTGAAACTAAGATTTGTCTAGAGCAGTCTGGTAAAGTAAGATTGGTTGTTGTTGCTAGCAAGCCCATGTTGACTTCTGGTAATTGTTAACATTGTTTTTTAAAGCACACCAAGATCATTCTCTTTGTGGTCTGCTTTATAATCTTCCCAGGCATCAGGGCTGGATGTTCTGTAATTCCTTGGATTTTCATTTTCATCTTCCATTACCTGGTACTTCACCCCTTCTGGATTTCTGGAATTTAATACAAAAAAGCTTGACCAAGTCCCTCAGCAAGTTCTGAGAGGTACCCCAGGTTGCAGTCGGAAACTATTCTACTTAAATAGGTGTTCCCTGTCTGTCTTTCTGTCAGTCTCAACTGTCAATCCAGCTCCTTCATTCTGCTTTTCAAAGTTGCTTAGGCGAATGCAAACCCTCCTGTTGGTGACAACTGAACAAAAATACAAGATAGTTTCATTTTTGGGCAGTTGATTGGAGGTTTGTACCTGATACTGGTTTCATTCTTATTTTGCCTTTCCTTGACAGCCAGCCTACCATGGTTCTTAGGTTTCTGTCCGTCTTCCTATCTGCCCGTTTTCTACGTCATAGCTCTCTAAGAATGAAAAACAATGCCTGACTCACAGTAAACCAGTGTTTGGTGGAATGTTGGGGTATATAGCATTGCACATAATTCTTGAAATGTATTTTTTTAAAACCAACTGAAGGTAAACCTCTGCAGGATCCCTGTCTTTATTGCTTTGTGTTTGTGATGCGAGATTGGGGAACTGGAAGTAACTGTGTGCACTGAAAGGTGGTATCCCTTCACATTAAGTTCTGTAATGTATGGCCCTAAATGTCTACCTGAGTTTAAAAGGGAAAAGGGCTAAGTATGTGTCAAAGCTTGGTTTAGATATTATGGTTGCTAGGAAAATACCTGAGGGGATAGGGTTAGATCATTTTATCCTATTCTGCTTCTTGAAGGTTTGGTGCTGAAAATATGATGTGAATAATCAGAGATTTTACAATCAACTACACTTTTGAATACAATTAGGCAAAGAGAGAGAGAAGAACCAACTTTGATGAATAAGAGCTTTTAGATCTGAATGGGGCCAGATTTTTATGAACACGTAAGCCTGCGAAGTGAACAGCTAAGTCTCTGACATATGTTTACTTTCTGTTTATTACTTTTATTAGCAAATATTGACTCCTTTTCTTCAATTTATACCTCCTGCCCTGTCTCCTCCCTGTTCTGTCCTCCACAAATTCTAAACTTGTATAAACTTGCTTAGTCTCCTCTCAGCTGCTCCTCATGCTTTAATTGTCAATTTCTTCCTTGACCATTATCAAACCTTTCCCTGGGAGGCTCTACTTTCACTTTAGCTGAAAGCCAGAATGGGAATCTTAATATGAAAATTCCAGTGTGCTCTGAGAAGTTACCAGAGCTTCCTGGTTGCAACCTAAACTTGTGCATGGAGTGTTCTTCTAGAAGAAACAGCAAACCTGTTGGGCAGGGTGAGCAATATTATTTCCATACAGCAGCTGGCATGATATACTGGGGAATTAATTGAGTCCCATCATAGTATAGAACCTCTTTTCTTGCAGCTAAAAGCTCCTGATTGTGTTTATAAGCTGTTGAATAACAGTTGTCTTGTCCCACTATCTGTTGGTCAGATTTTCACCCTTGGCTCTTTTCCCTTTAGTATTAATGCCAGCTCCTCTAGTGCCAGTAACTGGGGATTAATGCAGCTGTTTGATCCCATTTCTCAGAGACTTCTGGGCAAAAGACTGGGCTGGGGGTTGTCCTGAAAGGCAATCAGTGTGGCGAACTACTAATGTTAACAGGGACATAAACCAGTGCACATCTAATAAAGGTGGACATTGAAATCTTTTCAACAGCGACTAAGTCATTTGCTACTTAGTGCTTTTAACTTCAAAGCTGTTTTAGAATTCTGCCAATCTCTTCTTAAAGTAGAAGCAAAGGGGCATTTGGGGGTTCAGAAAATAATTTTTGCGATGTTCAAGAAACTTCTGCCTCAGTGTTGGTTAATGTAAACAATTATGTACAGTTCAGATTTACAGCTTTTTCTCCCCATGGCTAAAAGCTGGGAGTCTTTTTTTATTAAACAAAACAAAACAAAACAGTTTGGGCCTAAAGTATTGCATGCACCAAGTACTAACATTTGGCACATTTCAAGAAAAAGTGAAGCACTTCTCTGTTGCTTTTGATTTAACTAGATCTTTAATAAATTTGTCCACTTAGAAGTTATTAATTTGGAATTAAAGTGGAAATAATCTGAGAATTGTGTTGTCCTTTATTAGGATCAGTTCCTTCTTTCATTTGTGACTCTTGGGAAGGGGGGAGGGAGATGGATAATAAAAATACCTCTGCATGTGCAACAGAATGCCTTCCTTTGACAACAGAAATAGCAACAGACTCAGAGAATTCAAGTCCTTTTTGAATATTCTTTTTATGCGGTAGCTGACACAAAGGCTTTAAAATGTAATCTTGTACATTATTTGCAAAATCCTGTTGGAATGCCTGTTGCAAGGGAATTTACGTTTTGTGTACATGTAAATATGCTGTTACATATATCTGACTCTTGTTGGACTACTTGATTTTTTTTTGCTGTTTTTGAAAAAGCAGTGGAAGTTAAGTTCTGTTTGCAAATAACTAAAAATGTTAGTTTTCTGATGTTGATATCATAGCTTACATCAAATTGTCCCTGAAGAACAGCTGGAAAAATGCCTTGCTAGTACAGCAGCTTTAGTTGTCACTCTTGTTAGTCATTCTACTTTAAATCCCTCTGTCTGTTTCAATCTCTGCTTTATGTAACCATTCTATCTGTATTTAGCTTGACCTTATGTGTGAGGTGTTCACATTAAGATTGCAACCTTTTCTCTGTTTTTTGATATGATTATGTTCAAGGTATTATATGTTTTTTTCCATTGACACAGCCAACTTCTGTATAAAAAGGTACTTCTTTAAAATTCAATAAAGAGGCTCAAAATTGGTCCTTTAAAATGCTGTTCATAAATGCTTATGAATAGCCTGGTTTTAATTATATCCTTTTCACATCGATTGCAAGAATTAATAACAGAACTCTGTACAAAATTGTTTATATTTCCTGGCCTTTATTGCATTTAGTATTACATTGATTCTTACTGGGAATAGGATCATAAAGTTCCATCAAACTGCATTTAAGCTAATTTGTCGATATTCTTAGAGGCAACAGAGATATTTCATTGCTCAAAGTGAAATCTGAATGTCAGTGAACCCATTGTTAGACGCAGTACTTCGATACGGATATTTGGGGAGAATTAAACAAGTAATTTGAAAAGTCATCCTGAATTAAGATTTCTGTGGATGTATTTGCAAAGCTGAAGTGTTGTATTTGGGATGAGTTTGTAGTTATTTTTCCTTGGTTAATTTGAGCATTAGCGTGAAAGTGAGAGCTCTTTTTTTACAATTTGTTCAGTGTATTTCTATCAGTGGAGAGGATAATTGGCTAATATTTTGGCCAGTGGTTTGCTATCTTCCTCTAGCTAGCTGCTGTTCCATAGTTTATTGTTCTTTTCTCTGTAATGGCCTCGTTCCAGCTGTTTGATGCTCCCAACTGGGATTCGCAGGAGAGCCCTTAAAAGCCCAAAGACTATATTGCTTGTTTTCATCTTTCATGCCTTTGGAGTCCACTCACAATGACCTTTATTGTTTTTCGGGGGAAATGTAGAAACAAGGTGCCAGAGAATAAGTGGGAGGTCTTGGGAGGAGCCGTGTGTTGAAATGAAGTGTGTCTGGTTGATGTTTTTGGGTGACTACTTCTCGCTCTGCTACTGTGACTTCAAGTTTCCATCTGCAATCATGGCAACAGGTGTTGAGTTTAGAATGCTGTTTTCTGACGTGATGTGATTGGATTCACTTAAAGCATTGCACCATTAAAACAATTGAATTTAACAGATGCAGGAGCAATACTTGGGTGGAGGTCAAGGCTAAAATCCATATTTTAAATTAAAACAAATTAAAATTAATTGTAAGTTAATTGACATGATGCATACAGTTACCGTGATTTCTCCCGATTTCTTTAACAATTTGCACCCTACGTCATATAAACTTCAGAATTTGGTGACCACTTCTAGAGTCGTTCTGAGTGTCATACTCAAAGTTTGACAGGACTTATAGCCTGGGGAGCTCTGACTGAACCTCACCATCATAAACCATGCGTGCCATGAATTACAGATAGATTCACATGTCATGTTAAGTCAAAGCCAACAAACCCTGTTGGGAGACGATCATTTTGGTTATCCAGAAGCAACAGTTACTTGCCTTGATTATAGGAACTTTTTAGCATCTGGTTTTCCATTATGATTTCACAAGGAAAGAGAATGGTAAGAAACAGGGTTCTGTTTGGACTGATACTGATGGTGTGATTATGTATCTTTCTCACAAATAATTGTGCCCTTTTCCTCCCCTCTAGGTGTGATGTCTGCTGTATTAACTTCCGCACACACCGGGGTTTGTTGCGGCATAATGCAGTTATTCATAAACAACTTCCAAAGGACTCAACTGGAAAGCCTTACATTCAGAACAATCCTTCAATTCCTGCCGGCTTCCATGATTTGGGCTTCACGGACTTTTCTTGTAGGAAATTTCCTCGCATTTCTCAGGTATTTGTCCATTTCACCTGGCTGTTTGGGTGATATCCATACTTCCTTAATTGGGAACTAAATATTTGGAGCCTGGGTCTCTTAGAATCCATTTCAGTGGCACAAAAACTGACTGCTGTTGCCCTTTGGGTTTTGTGGATACTTTGATGCTCATGTGTTTTCTTGTGATGTCTCCTAGGTTTGGTGTGAAACAAACCTGAGGAGATGCACCAGTGATTATCATCGCTATATCTGTGAGATATGCAACAAGGCATTCCCCATGTTCTCGGCACTCAAGCTGCACAAAGACACCCATGCAACCGATCAAGGAAGAGAAGTGCACAACCTGCACTCGGAGGACACAGACCTAAAAGCTTACATGGCATCCTTGGGGCTACAGCATACCAAAGACATTGAATCTGTCAAGCAGGAGGAGCTCGTGCCAGATGATGAGGTCCAAGAAATGCAGCTACGAACACTGAAATATAACCTACCTCAGGGACCTGGAAGTGATAACCAGTTGAACCTATCCCCTCTGGAGGCTGCTTCTGTAGGAGGCCCCTTTTCAGTCCTTCCCCCTACAAAAGAAAATATGAAGCTACTCTCACTACAGCCTTTCCAGAAAGGCTTCATAATCCAGCCTGACAATAGCACTGTTGTTAAACCCATTTCTGGTGAATTAGCTGATATCCAGCAGATCCTAAAGATGGCCTCCTCAGCGACTCCACAGATCAGCCTCCCACCGCTGCCTAAGGCATCTCATTTCTCATCCATATTCAAACATATGCCTCCACTGAAGCCAAAGCCATTGGTAGCCCCTAGGACCGTTGTAGCAAGTTCAACGCCACCTCCGTTGGTCAACACTCAGCAAGCCTCACCAGGATGTATCAGTCCAAGCCTTCCTCCAGTACCACCCAGAATGGTCAAAACCTCAGACCAAGAATCAACTTCAGATTCTTCCATCGCACACAATAAATCCAGAACAAACTCCAGTCCTTCTCCTAAGCCGGAATCTTTGGGTCAGCATGAAATGAAAACTCAGCTGGAACAAGACACCATCATAGAAGCCCTTTTGCCTTTGACAATGGAGACAAAAATAAAACAGGAGGTGACCGAGCGAGACTTCAAGGCCATCATGACTGGATCCGCAAACAAGAAAACCCCAGCTATGAGGAAAGTTTTGTATCCGTGCCGTTTTTGTGAGCAGGTGTTCCCGTTCTCCGGAGTCTTAAGAGCTCATATCCGTTCTCACTTAGGTATCTCCCCTTATCAGTGTAACATCTGCGACTACATCGCAGCCGACAAGGCAGCACTCATCCGGCATTTGAGGACGCACAGTGGGGAGAGGCCGTACATCTGCAAGATCTGCCACTACCCTTTCACAGTGAAAGCCAACTGCGAGAGGCACCTGCGCAAGAAACACCTCAAAACAACCAGGAAGGACATCGAGAAGAATATTGAGTATGTGGCCAGCAATGCAGCCGAGATGGTCGATGCTTTCTGCTCCCCAGACACCGTGTGCAAATTCTGCGGGGAGGACCTTAAACATTACCGTGCCCTCCGTGTCCACATGAGGACCCACAGCAGCTGCCAGAAGAAGAAGCCATTTGAATGTAAGGAGTGCGGCACTGCCTTCTCAGCCAAGCGGAACTGCATTCATCATATCCTCAAGCAGCATTTGCACATCCAGGAACGGGAGATTGAGAGCTATGTGCTGGCCGTGGACTGCACTCCCCCGGAAAGCCAGCCTGACCCTGTGTTACTGGAAGAAAGCACTTATCTGGATTGCAAATCTGTGTCGCCTTTCCTGGAATCGCAGAATGGCTTTTTAAGGGGAGCTCCCTCTCATGCATCGATCAAACTTGAAACGGCAAATAACTTCTCAATGGATTTTGACGAGCCTTTAGATTTCTCACAAAAGAACAAAACTCTGAATTCTGTACTGGTCAAGCAAGAGAACCCGTTTGGGTCCTCTCTCTATGACAGCTCCATGGAGCCCATTGATCTGTCAATTCCCAAGGCTCCAAAAAGGGACAGGGATGAAGGTAGCGTGAGTGAGGATAAGAAGCAAGAGCTCCATGATGGCCATGACGAGAAACTCCAAGGCTGTCTGCCGTCTCCTCCAGCTAATGGCAACCTGGAAAACTCAGCTCTCAGACATTCCCAACCACTGAAGGGGCCACTTCATTTGACTGTCCCCATAATTTCTCCAGGCGTCTTGGGCAACTCGGTTTTGCTGCGGCCTTTGAGGCCCAAACCGCCGCTTCTCTTGCCAAAACCTCTCGCAACTAAAGAGCTGCCACCCCTCGCTTCCATTGCCCAGATTATTTCGTCTGTGGCTTCTGCCCCAGCTTTGCTCAAAGCAGAAGTGGCAGACGCTGTCCCCAAGGTGGCTGTTGGCAGCTCCACCACCTCTGAAAAGTTAGGAAGCCCCAGCCCTAAAGCAACTCTCCCAGCCACCGTCCAGACAGATACCAACACACCCAGTGACTTAACGAAGAGCACCAGCAGTCCGACGGGGTCCCAGAAATCCTCGACGTCTGGATCGGTGAAGAAAAGAGGCAGAAAGAAAGGCACAAAAAACAAGCCCAAAGCAAGCAGCGGTCTGGACTTGGAATCCAGTGGGGAGTTTGCCAGCATAGAGAAAATGCTGGCAACCACAGACACCAATAAATTTAGCACATTTCTACAATCGACGACGACGGCAGACTTTAAAGAAGCGGCTGATAAAAATGGAGCTAGCGAGGAAGAGAGAGAGGTTGTTGAAGACAAACTCCTGCATGGAAAGCGAAATGCCTACTCCAACTGCATTCAGAAAATCAAGTGCCCCCACTGCCCTAGAGTTTTCCCCTGGGCAAGTTCTTTGCAGAGGCACTTGCTCACTCATACAGGTAAGAAATCTCTTAAAAAATGGCTGGGGGGAGGAGGAGGAGTTAGGGAGGGGCAGGATACACTCACAGGAATCTTAATTGAGTGACCGGGAGGGATCTAGAGAGAACAGCATCATTCATTCATCACATCCAAAAGGAATTGCCAGGAAAATCTGCCAGCTTTAGTGTATTGATAAGTTTGCCTTCTACTGCGCCATTCTGGGGACATCCTGGTTTTTCTTTTTTTTTAATTGGGAAGTGTATGACTGTGCACTGTATTTGTGCACCAGTAATTTAATTTGGTAAATTTATGCAGCCGTCCATCCCTTATACATGACTCTGAGTGGCTAACAGTTAAAAGAAATAGAAAGAAAAATGAAGCACAGCCTGGTGATGAAAAAATGTACATAACTTCAAACATTATAGAGCAGCAGCAGAATTAATTGAACTACACACCATCAACCAGACAACACGCTCCCGCTCCCCACTATTTGCATGGATTAGCAGCAGTTGACCTCATGCTGGAGGGTTGACCCTTGTACTTGTACGATCAAATCCTGATTTACAGCCCAGTTTTCTATTTTGAGCATGCGACAGCCAAGCAGGGTAGAGTGTATTGTGGGTGGGAGAACCCAAGACTCAGGGCTACAATGCCAAACTCTACTGTGGCAACTTAATCTCTTAACCTCCAACTACTGCTCTGAGTATAAGGATTTTTTCCCCCCCTGATAAAAGGCAAAACTGGAAGGTCTCGCAGTGTTGCAGAAGTAGTTTTGCTGTGCCCTAAGTTAGGATCTTTTTAAAATGATAGATAGGTGAGGATTTCTGACTTAATTCTCCTACCCTGTCAACTAGAGTAGCTATAAGGTTTTGACTCTCATCCACTCCGTATCTTGGGTTTCATCACGGGTTAGAGATAATGGGAAGTATATGCCCAATAGGAGGATCCAAGTTGGGAAAAGCCAGGAGAGGAAAGGTTGGGTTAAATAGATTGGGAGGAAAGAAAGAGCAGAAGGGAAGAGTACATTGTCTGCTTTCCTGCTGTCAGATTTGTTTCCCTTATCAGTTTTTCCATTTGCGAGGCTCAAACATTGCTTCCTCCTACATTTTAATACAGTGGAAACAAGAAAAAATATTGAACAGCATTTGGAATAACAATAACAGCCAGAGTGCTGCTTCTTTCTGCTTCTCCTGTCTTCATCGCCTTCATTAGAAGTTGCTTTTCATGGCTCAGGAATTCTGGGAGTTGAAGTCCACAAGTCATAAAGGGCCATCTTTCCCCACCCCTGTTCTAAAGAAACTGCTGGCAAAATTGGCATTAATTTTTAATATCTATGATGTTTGCAGAAAATTACTAAAAAGATCTTTCTTCCCCGTGTAGAATATCTAAAATTTGCTCACTCTCAATGACTAGCAAGCTCTGGTTTTGATGTATCCAATTCTTGAATTGAAAGCCACAGAAAAAATGCCTTTCTATTGGCTCTCCTTAAGCGTAGAAGAAAGGGGGAAAGAGACACACGTCTACTTACTTTTGTGTCTTTCTTTATATGGATCTCTCTTTTTATAAATTGCATCAGAACTTTTTGTTTATTTAAACTTAGCTTCCAAATTCTAAGATACGGATCTTTCTTCATTACTTTTGGCTTTGGTAAAAGAAAAAAAAATCACTATTGTGGTTAAGAATGTGTGAAAAATACGCTAACTAGCTTCCCCCCCCCCAAAAAAAATCTGTTTGCACATAAATAATGTCCTTAAAATTCCTACGATTCATATATTGCTGGCAAATGCTGTTTGTTAGCTGTATGAATTATGTTATGCCTTTTCCTACCTATCCCTCCTCCGTACTTCTTATCTTGCCATCTTAAATATATTCCCTCATCTTATTAATCCTGAATTCTGTTTTCTGTTTTGATATTTTAGAGCATTCAGTGTTAGATGCAACAGGAGCACTTGCGGATTGACTAGGCTGCTGAAGTTTGCAAATAAAAAAAGGGCAACAGATTGGCATTGAAGACGGTGATTAATTATTAAAATGCATTGCTCATACGTAGTATTTCTCCCACCATTTTCAAGGACAGCTATGTGGTGCAGCCAAAGCAGTTGGCCTGCTTAAGCACCCAGTATAGGTGCTTGCTTTGTCTCAAATGAGGGAATCACAGGATTAGTCTCTTCGCCAATCTTGTTTCCTTTTATGGTGCTGTCATCGGGAAAGGATAGAATCTACAGGAAGGAATTGAACCTATTTGCAAGACAGGCAAGAGTTTAGTGTTGGGTAACAGCAACAGAAGAATAGTCCTAAAATAATTGTCACCAGTAGCGGCACAAAAGGCAAAATTCCAAAATTGAAATCAAGCCAAGACAATTAACAGTCTTTGACTCAAAGTAGCTGCTTACTCCTGAATGAGATGAACCATGTTAACCAAATGTCTTAGCCTTTTCATTGAAAAATGTGGCTTCACTATTTCTGGTGTTTGGCTTTGCTTAAAGGCTGAATAAAAAAAGGTTCAGTTTAATAGCAGCCATTGTCTTTGGGTTGCCTGCTCAGATGATAACTTCTGCTAATTTAGTCTTTACTATTGAACTCAGAGTAGACCCAGGTCATCTTTAAAAACTTTAGTACAGTCTCCCCGAATAATCTCTTTGTTGATTTAACTCATTGTTTGGACTTATTGCCTAGAACTTGTTGAGTGGCTTTGTCACTTAAAAAAAAAATCCCATCGTTCATACTTCCACATGCATTGAAAGGGCTAATTATTAGTAGACTTTCTCAGACACCCTCTGGGATGCAGTGTAGCGAAGGAAGGGAAATAAGAACAGTTTATTGTTCATGAGTGAAGCTATTTTTCATAACTATCTTTTTGTTGTAACCTGGTGAGCATATAGACTGTGATGAGACATACATTTGATAATTATGGACAGTATTGCTAATAAAAGGTGTAGAATGCATAACAGTAGGCGTTGAGCATTTGGAAAGAATCTGAATCGAATTGATTCTGTCAATATGTTCTGTAAATTAGATGTTACTATAATATGCTGAATCTATTAATACCATTCAAATTAGGAGAACTTGGGTATAGCAATGCTTAGCAAACTTATTCCCTGGTGAGAATTCATTCAGCTGGGTCAACGCTGAAATAGCAGGTTTAAGAATAGTGTGAATCCCTCGTTTGGGCTTTGCAAATAATCCCTCCTGGAGCTCCATGTAAATGTTTGCTTTGTCTGATTTTTCCTCTTTTTCAAAAGTCCCACCCCTCAAAAAATATTAATAACAACCATCAGGTATAAAATTCAATGTTCATGCCAAAGGACCAGAACATTCAGAAGAACGTTTGTCTGATGAAGGGAAGAGGCTGTCCATACTACATATCAACCAAATCTTGATAATATGTACAATTTATGAATGAATTGGTACTGCCATATATTTACGTCATTCCTGTGGTAACTTCAGTATTAACCGCTACTCACTGAAGCTAGGATTTCATACAATTACGACAAAATACAGTGCATTGACTTTCCCTCCATCAATTTAATTACACTGTTTCTTTTTATTTGTGTCTATTTTTTTTCTTATAATGTTGGTGTAATGATGAATAAATCAGAGCAAGCTCTCCATGTCTACCACACAGCCATTGACTCCACTGTGGTTATGATCATCTATTTCTCAGTGTTGATTCATTTGCTTGTGCAGCAGAATGGGGCAGGGAGGAGGAAGATGACAAATTCAAACTTGGAAAACATTCCTAAAATCTCACACTGCAATGAGATGATTCCCACAGTAGCTCTTGCTCCAGTATCAAGATTTTGTGGGTGGTTTTTTTTCTTCTTCTTCAAGGAAAAAGCTGTTCAGTGGAAAATAAAAAGAGTTTGGTCCTGGTTCACAATCTTAGCACTTTCGAATTGTGCAAAACCAGTTCCTTTAATTGCCAAGGGAAGATTATGAGAATTTTTAAGCCCATCGTGTTTAGATGGGGCCTTTTGGGCTCGGTGTGTCAAAAATTCAGAAAACGCGTAACGACTTTACTGACGTGTCAACCCCCCCCCCCCACTAAACAAACAAATTTTTTTCTCCCCCCCCCCCCCCCAATCTAGGCCACAACGAACAGCAGCAGTTAGTGGTAGCTCTGAGGCTGGGCCTGAAGTCAAGGACCAGGCCTCATCTTCAGCCCTAGCACCAGTAATGCCGCTCCAAAATCACCATGTTCTCCAAGGTGTGATTACGCCCGTGGCCTAACACTCCCCAGGATCTGCCGCTTATTTTCAAGTGCTGTTCAGGCCTGTGCAGTCCCCCCAAAAGCTGTTCTGGGTCGCACAAGGCCTTCATTTTTGAAGCAGCTCTGGGGAAAGTTCTTCCACAGCCTCTGCAGCCTCAGAAAATGTGCAAAACACACTCCATTCTTGTGCAATTTTTGGAGGCTTAAAGGCCATGTAAGAGCATGGCCTTCTCACACGACTTCTAAAGGCGTTCCAGGGGTCGCACAAAAGTACATCTCATTCTTACGTGGCCTCTACAACCTTGCGAAAATTACACAACAATGGGGCATACTTTTGAGAATAATTGTTGTCGGGTGTAGGTGAATGCTGGCGTAGGTTTGTCATAATTGGCCTAATGCGTTATTATTTAATACAGATCATACTGAGACTTTTATTTGGACCTGTTGCACAATTTGGTAACATGATTTTTTTTAACAGATTAAATAACATGGTATTTATTTTCTGAAATTATCTCTTCCTAGAGGTTTATGTGTGTACCTGAAAAAAATGTCCATTAATGAAGTGTGAAAATTCCTATTACCTGAGTTGTGCTTAGGAAGACTCTTGAGAGATTGTACTGCTTGAAAACACCTGAAAAAGTATTTTGACCCCCTCTGATTCATTCCTGCTCTCTGTTTGGTGATATTCCACTGTTCTCTTTTTTCCTGTTCTCATGTTCTTTTGGGGTTTCAAGATTATTAGAGGCAACCTTTATGCATTGGTTGAATGGCATGACTAGTTGTATTTTTTTTTTTTACTTACGAAGCCCAGCTGGCATTGCAAATTGTATTTTGATGACTTGACTAGGAGAGAATTTTGTTCTGCCCTGTAATGTTTTTATAGCTGTGTGTGAATTGATTGAAGCTGCATGCAACTATGCAGAATTGTGGCCTTCCTTAGGCAGCTAGCTTTTAAGCCTTTGACTTGCTATAGAAGTGGCCACAGTTAGTAACAATTCTGAGAGTTAACTTTCCTAAAGCACCTTGTTTCTCCATACCATATGCCCTATCTATCCTTTCTCTATCACATTCCTTAGCTCTTTGGAATTTTATTTATAAAATGAATTAATCATGTGTTTCCATCACCTTGTCTCTAATTTTATCATAAGTGTTCTTTTTCTTGAGCTCAGAATTCATTCCTGCAGGTAGATTGAATAAGGAGATTTACCCTTTGATATCCTGGAGTGTTCTAATTAGACACATCGCACCATGGAAATTATATTGGGGACTTGAATAAATGTGTGAAATGAGAGAATTTTCCCTTTAAGTAACTGATGGAAGCTTTTGGATGAGTTTAAATGCCAAAGGAAGGTTGCAAGCCAATTCTGCAGTTGCCTCTTATTTTATCGAGCCCATGACTTTGTAGATCAGTTCTAAATTGGGCCACAGAAGCAATGATCACTTGCTTCCAATCATATATTTCCTTCTGGATTTGTGTGGTGTCATATGAACAATTGATTACAGAGTATTCACTGATAGCAAACTAGTTATTTGTTATTAAGTCCATATGATTTTTCAGGCAATTATATTGGAGAACTCTCAGAATTTGGGGGTGTCAGGGTCAGTCTATCTTTCTTAGGTTATTTTATGTATGGCTATAGCTGGAATCCTGAGCATGCTACTTGGGAAGTAAATTGCTTCAAATTTAATAGGGCCTTCTTTTAAAATTAATCTTATTTAGGACTGAGTTGAGTCAAAGTTGTTCAAACTAAGCTGAAGGGATAAGAAAACACAAGGAGCTCCTCTTGATACATTAGAAAAAAAAGATAAATGTGTTTTTTTTCCCTGCTTCATTCAGGTCAGAAGCCCTTCCCTTGTCAAAAATGTGATGCCTTCTTTTCTACCAAATCTAACTGTGAACGCCACCTCTTACGCAAACATGGAGTTGCCAACTACTGCCTGAGAAGAAACGGGCTTATCCCCCAGTCTAAAGAAAGTGATGCTGGAGCTCATGATAGCACAGGTAGCTTTTTTAGGTTGTTCCAGAATTTAAAGATAAGTTGTGTTCCTTTTTGCTTTGGGCCTTTAGAGGAATCAGTGAGACTTTAGAAGACTTTTTAGGGCCTGAGGAATTGAATTAGATGTTAATACCTTGACCGACTTAAGTCTGTTGTGGGGGGGTTTCCCCCCTATTCAGGTGAGGTGGGAGCATTGAAAGTCTCACAGACAGGCAAGAGAGTTCTATGTCAAATCTTGCTGTTTCTAATCTTACCCTGACGTTCAACTTTCTTGCCTGCCCAGTGTTGAGATTTCAATGGCTCATCTGTTCAGCATAGGAAAATCACAAGTTTTGGATTCTGTGATTTGGATTCTGTGATGCATAGGTTGGGTTGCTGCAATGTTTGATTTGGCCCTGAGAGGAATTTGTATTACGCAAAGAACAAGGAGATAGGGACCAAGATAGTTGTCATTGGTTTAGATTACCTATCTGATTAGATAGGTTCCCAAAGCAGACGTGCCTGATAGTAGTTTACAAATTTTAAATTGTGATGAGATTTGTTACAGCATATATGTACCACAATCAGGAATCACTTAGTGTTTTCTAAATGTCTTGTGTCCCACTCACCCTATTTTTATAGAAATTTTATTAGAATTACAATTCACAATGATGCAAACTAAAAGAAGAAGAAAAAATAGAAGGCGTGGAAAAGAAAAAAAGAAAATTAGAAAAGAAAGAAAAAATAAGAAATATGGTATAAAAAAAGAAAAGAAGTACATAAACAAGTGACTTCCCTCTTCATAAAAATAAGTATCAACAATTTTACTAATTTATCACCTTCTCCTAAAATATTACAGATGATCTCTTGTTCTATCTCATATTGATAAACAGATCCTTAAAACCTTGTCATTTCAATCCGGATCAGCAAATAACCATTAAGCGTTAGATGAAATAATAATTTATCTATTTTAACCTTGATCAAATAAACCAATTTTATATTATTTCCTTTTCCTTCTAACAAACTTTATCATCAAATAATGGCCTAGAACTTGATTTCTTTTCATTTTTTCTTTCTCACAAAATTTTTAACAAGCATCTTTTGTAAATCCAGTATAAGAAAATTAACCATGTCACTCTCTTGGTTTGTTATTTGTATAATTCTCTTAATGATTAAAACATCAACCATTTCTTTTCTATGTCTGATATAACATCTTTTTCCATGTCATTCTTGTAGCTAGTCATTTTTAAATGCAGTTTCAGTCTCAATCACATCAGAACAATATTCGTTCTCTTCCATGGCAGCTTGAATACATAGTCTACCTTATGAGGCAGATGTTCTTAAAACTAACTTCTGAGTGCATTGTTCAAAAATTCCCTTCAGTATGTCCAATGTTAAAATGTTTTGCTTCATTCTGTATTAGTAAGTTGAGTTTTAATGTTCTTCTCCTTTATTTGTAATCCTTAATTGCTTCTCATTTTCTACGATGTCCAATTTTTAAAGTTAAATCTTCTTGTTTTAAGAATTCAAGACAAAAACATTTCCAAAAGAAGAATTCCTTATAATTTATTATAAAATCTCATTTCAAAATTACGTTCACCCTTTGTAAAGATGGGGGTTTCTAAAATCAAAAAATTAATTACCCCTGTGGTGTTTATCCAGATTTTTTAAAAAAGTCCTTACACTTGTATTTAAAAGTTATTTCACTAAGGATTCAAGGAACCTCTCCCAGTGCTGTAAAATCCTTTGATCCAAAAGTTCTGAATATCTGAAAAGCAGTTAAAAAGCAATTTCAAAAGTGATCAGAAAGGGAAAGATGTAAACCCAGCATCCTTTTAAAGATACCACCTCTGGTCTGGGCAAGATGGCCTATTCCCTTGTCAGTCAGAGCTCCAAACCTGCTGGAGATACCTGTCTTGCATTCTCCTCATGAGGAGAAACAGTGTCAAGTGTTTTGGGGCAATCCCCAAGTTCTCTCCTGGTTTGTAAAGAGTTTGCTTTTTGTTCCACTGCATCTTCAGAGCCATTTTCAGTTTGCTGTTTTTCTTCCCTGGCATTTCAGATCTCCGTGATGCTAAGTAAAAAAAAGGTTTAGCTGAAGATAATACATGACGAGAAATCCTATGTTTGTAATTATTAAGGGGATCTTTTGGCTTTTGTAACATTTTATATGGAAGTTGGAAATTTTTTTATCAGGATTAAAGCTACTATTGATTGTTGGGAACTATGGTTTAGTGCAGTGGTGTCTAACCTTTTTCAGCTCCTGTGCTGAAAATTGCGCGCGCATGCGTGCCAGCACCCAGAGGGCAATGTATGCTGGGGGCCCCCACGCGCCAACGCATGCGTGCACAACCCCCCGGTGTGCCATGCATCTGCTCATGCATGTGGATCTCCCGCGCACTCCTGTGCATGCGCGCCAGATACCCAAGAATCAGCTGGTGGGTGGGGGCCCCCATGCGCATGCACAGTGGGGCTCTTCCAGGTGACCTCTTGCGTGCCAGCAGAAGTGGCTCTGCGTGCCACATGTTCACCATCATGGGTTTAGTATCATTAGCCAGTTATTTTTATTTGATTTGGTTTGTTGAGCAGTAGAATGAAATTAGAAAGCTGACTGGAAATCCGGGTAGTTTTTGAAGAAAGGGCTATGAAAATAATAAATAGGAATAAATTGACAGAAAAACTGATCATTTCGTAACTTAGTAATAGAAAATGTAAATTTACTGCTTCGTTCTTTTTCATTCTTTTGTATCATTTGAAGTGTGGTTTATGCTTCATCTATGCTGTACAGGTAGCCCTCAACTTAACAACATTTCATTTAGTGACTGTTCAAGGTAACAATAGCACTGAAAAAAAGTGACTTGTGACACTTTTTCACATGACATGCATCCCCGTGGTCATGTGATCAAAATTCAGATGCTTGGCAACTGACTCATATTTATGATGATTGCAGTGTCCCACGGTCGTGTGATCAGCTTTTGCGACCTTCAGACAAGCAAAGTCAGTGTGTGGGGAAGCCAGATTCACTTAGCAACCAGGTTACGAACTTAAAAACTGCAGGGATTCGCTTGACATCGGTGGCAAGAAAGATCGTAAAACGGGACAAAGTTCACTTAACAACTGACTCATTTGTGGTCGTAAGTCAAGGACTACTTGTATCTGGAATTCGGTGGATATACATGTAGATAGATGATGAAGACAGGAGGAGAGTCCCCATTACTCCCTAAGACAGGAGTCCCCATTATTAAAACAAAAGAAACAACCTCCTGAATATGATGTTTGCAGGTACCTTCTCTTAGCTACCACCCATGTTCCTGTTCTCAGTGTCTCAGGTTGGAGAACCTAGGCATCTGTGTACAGTTCTAATGGATAAACATAGATGTTTAATTTTGAGGGCTTTTTCTCTCCACAAGGCAATGCAAAGCTAGAGGGAATGGGCTGTGCTCCTGCCATAGTTAGGAGGCAACATCTGCCTATCAAGGGATACATTTAAGCACATCACTGAAAATTATTTAAGATGAGTTTAATCAGCATTGATATGGTTTCATTTGTATGAAAGCAGATCTTACCAAAGTGTTCCACCTAGTGGAAGCTATTTGAGATTGGAACATTAAAAAAGCACAACAGGATAAAAAAAAAATACTGTTGTGTGAAATTAGAAATGAGTGTAGACGAAGGAGATGCATGCTTCAACGTTTTAGGCTTACTACTCGTTTGAGTTGGGTATAAATTACAGTAAGGTGCCATGTTCAGATAGATGCAAATTCAGACAGACCGTGTTTTGCCAGTGTTGTGAGGCCACGGACAGCTCACAAATTAAAACTCATACCAGAACTAAACTCCTAAGTCTCTTTAGATAAAATCTATTCCCACTTCCTCCACCAAACATTCTTTTATCGCCATCCTCAATTAGGGAGGATCAAATGGTTTTGGATGCTGCTATTGTTAGATAATTGGGAATTAGGTATACAATTTACTGCAAATCATCCTGAGATCTAATAGTAGATCCTGGATTAATTTCTGCCTACAGTTGGTATGCTGTGTTTCTTAGTTTACAGATAAAGCTATGAGCCAACAAAAGGGAATCCGTAAAGCATGATGTAAATAACTTGAGAAATATATGAATTAAAGACCTTGTTCTCACCCCTTCCCAGCACAGCAGCTCAGAGTTTGCTTCTTTCTTCTCAGCTATTGACTTAGCTATTATCTGATCGTTTCTGAAAAAGATTGTTTGCATTATTTGAACATCTTAAACAGTTCAGTCAGGAGCATGTGGCATTAGATCTTCACATTCTTGAGTCAGATTTAATAAGCTAGTGACCTTTGAGGTCCTGCTTGTTGCTGTTTTCTCCCTGTTTGGTGAGAGAATGAAAAGGAGTCCTTTAGGAACCAAGTGCCACAGCTTATAATTTAAGCCTTTGAAAGCTGGTATGTATGCCTTATATAACAGGCGGTTATGCAAATCATAAAAAACGTGCAGGCCTTTCAGCTAAGGCCTGTATGTGCTTCAGAATCTCCACTCCTGTTCAAAACTTGGCCTTTACAATTTGTAATAACGAATTGCTGTTTCCACCCCACCCAAGAACAGTTACCTGTACGAAGAACAGGGTTTTAAACTTGGTTTCCCAGTCCGACAGAATTTCTATAATGCCATCTATTCTTTGTACTAATAGCAGTATTTCATGTGACTCTCTCTGCTCACTGAAGGGAGGACAACACAATGGGCATGTATTTATAAAGTTTCTGTGAAAGAAAGATCAGGGTGTGGTTTTGCTCAAGTCATCAGTAAAAAAAAAGAGGAAAAAAAAAGATACACGGGTTAAACCGCACATGATTATGAAAGCGAGGAGTATTAGGGAGTCTAGCTGCAGATTTATGAGGTTTGCAGTCTATGGCAACCTGCAAAATGCTTAGAACATACAAAAGATAATTGGATTAAGAAGGTACCTTAAGGTCTGGTGACTGTATATATAAACTCTCAACTTCCCCTTAAGTTTGGTGCATAATGTTTAATCGTGCTATACTATTGCGGAATACGTTACATCTCCCAGGGAATGGTTTACCAAAGTTGTCATTTCCCACACACAAATTTGGTACAATATGTATGTTTTGGTTCTACTAATCCAAGCAATCATGGAATTTTCCCCATGAAATGATAAGTAAAATATGGCATGGTTGAGTTGCTGCATTTCTGTTTGGTCTTACATTACTTAGTTGTCTGGGGCCAAGAATGAATTTCTTCTATTTGTCTTTTTAACAAAAAACTCCAAATCTGTAAACTAGAATCAGTAGTGCAAAGCAAGAGAATGCCTCTGAACCCCCTTAAATAATAACCTTTGGTGCCAAAATTTCATATCTGAGTAGCCAAACTTTCTTCTAATTTATTACTCTTCTAAGTTATTGCTCTTAATGATACATAGTTGTACATTACTGAAAATCACTCAGATCTGTTAGTAGACTTTGGTCTATTTTCTGTCTACCAGTCTGGCCGAAACTCTGTAAAATCAAAACATCTGTAATCTCAAAACATTCTTAATGAGGGAGAAATTAAGGAAACTGGGAAAATGTTATTCAAAAATTGAGAAATAATAGAATCCATATTTGAAATGATATATTAAAATCATACTTTAGTAGTGGGGAAATGGGAGTATAAGGGCTTTAACTTCTTAGTAACCAAATCTAGTTTTTAAAATCTCATTTATTAAATAAGGCTGTTTGAGTTTTTTGCGGCATTGGTCTGTGAGATATATACAAAGCTTTCGTTTTAAGGGAGAAAAAATAGGTGTCAAGCCCTCTTTCTATTTAAAAGAACTGAGAGATTCAGTTAATCAATACTGGCTGATTTATAAATTGAAAAGGTTTTGGGGGGACTTAACTGCCCTTTATTTTGCAAGATGGATTCTTGGCTATTGACACTATTTATTAGAGTGTAATCTTTTCATCAGTGCAGTGCAGTGCCATATAGAGAGCCAGTTTGAAACCAGGATGCTGGTCTAGTCCTGCCTTAGATGTGAAAGCTTAGGAAGAGGAAGAGCTGCCTTGGGTTATTTATAAGGTCATAAAAATGGGGTAAAACTCAATAAATAAATACATACATATGTACATATTTTCACTCCAAAAAAATAGTGTGAAAAGTTATTTTTCAGTCTGAAGAAGAAAGCTATATTGTATTGATCCTGCTGAACTGCCAAAGAGCACAATTATGGAGTTTCTTCTGCAGATAGTCCTTAAGGGCGATGACATTTAGGGATGCTGGGAAATTGATTTTGAATAAACCATCAAATGCTAGCTTCAAGATAGAGTTGCAGCACCCTCATGCCTACCCCATTCCCATTGCAAAGACAAAGCGTGTGTATGTGCCTGCCCACAGGTTACTTGCATAAAGGTTTCAAACATAGATGCTTTCCTCCATCAATCAACTACAGTTTTATTGCTGATACTTTGTTAAGAACACATTAATTTTCAGGTCTGATATTCTGTTATAGAGTTTTATTTGTAGCCAATGATATTGTTTTGTTTCTGTAGCCTAGTTCCTCGCCCTCCTTTTGTTTTGAAATTTGAAGTGCCTGCATTTTATTTTTCATATGTTTAAAACTTTGTGTATAGCCTCTTGATTTCTGGCCTGTCTTTTGTCTGGTCTTTCAGAGTTGTCCTGTTGTCATTCACAAATACAGACTCGATGAATCAGCACAAAAAGGATCTAAAACATTTATTTTATCAGCATTCCGATATCCCTTTAATTTCCAAGCCGCTATTGAGCTTTGAAAAAAAAATCAAGGGTTTAGACTTTTTATCTAGAGATTGTTGGTTCTTGTAACATATAGAAGGCATTCTAAAAACATAATGGCTATCAACACCAAATCTAATCAGGATTACATAGTTTATTATGCTGCAACATCAGCTAAAGTTTAGCTGGGGATGGGGGAAGGGGAAAATTGGTGAAGAAGAAAAATCCACAGCCTGCTTGAACTTTATTAGAAACAACCAGAAAGTTACAAATCAGTGTGCTCATTTTGTGCATTAAAGTAGGTTTTCTTTTGTTCCATTCATCATTCCTCTAGTCTTTATATTCAGTCAGGTGAAGTGTTGATAGATAGAAAGAATAGATAGAATTCTTTATTGGCCAAGTGTGGTTGGACACACAAGGAATTTGTCTTGGTGCAAATACTTTCCGTATACATAAAAGAAAAGATAAGAATCATAAGGTACAACACTTAATGATAGTGATAGGGTACAATAAGCAATCAAATCATATTAGGAAATAGTCAATATAAATCATAAGGATTACAAGCGACAAATTTACAGTCATACAGTCACAAGTGGGAGGGGATGGGTGATAAGGAGTGATGAGAAGATTAACAGTAATAGTAGTGCAGACTTTGTAATAGTTGAGAAATAGTGTTGAGGGAATTATTTGTTTAGCAGAGTGATGGCTTTCGGGGGAAAACTGCCCTTGTGTCTAGTTGTTCTGGTGTGCAGTGCTCTATAGCGTTGTTTGAGGGAAGGAGTTGAAACAGTTTGTGTCCAGGATGTGAGGGGTCTGTAAATATTTTCACAACCCTCTTTTTGACTCGTGCAATATACAGGTCCTCGATGGAAGGCAGGTTAGTAGTAATTGTTTTTTCTGCAGTCCTAATTATCCTCTGAAGTCTGTGTTTGTCCTGTTGGGTTGCAGAACCAAACCAGACAGTTATAGAGGTGCAGATGACAGACTCAATCATTCCTCTGTAGAACTGTATCAGCAGCTCCTTGGGCAGTTTGAGCTTTCTGAGTTGGCTCAGAAGTGTGCTGAAGACAAAAAGGGAATGGTTAATTGGCTGGGTTTTTATCTCTTTTCCTTCACAAAGTCACGGGGACACAAATAGCACTCCCCTCCTTCAGTTTTTCCCAAGAACCCTGTGAAGTAGGTTGGGTTGAGAGAGAGTGACTAGCCCCAGATCACCCAGTGTGCTTGCAAGGCTGAAGGTGGAGTTGAGCCTGCCTTTTCTCAATCAGAAGGTTGCAAAAAGGTATCACATGACCCCCCCCCAGGAGACGGCAACCGTCCTAAATATGAGTCAGTTGCAAAGCGTCTGAACTTTTGATCACGTGACCACGGGGATGCTGCAATGGTCATAAGAATGAAAAACAGTCGTAAGTCTCACTTTTTTTCCAGTGCTGTTGTAACTTTATATGGTCATTAAACGAACTGTTGTAAGTCAAGGCCTAACTGTACCAAACTGGCTCTCCAGTCTGACTAAGCTTCTTTGTCCCTCCTTCCTCCCGTCCCCCCCAAAAAGTGAAATATTTAAAAGGATGTTTTTGTTTAGACAAACTAAATATATAATCCCTGGGATTTTGGAAGAGATATAATGATGTTGCTATGCGTCTCCTTTTGGGAATACCAGAAGGAATATAGGATTAGCTTGTAAGGAGCACCAATTCTAAAAATAGTTTTCCTGATGTAATTCAGAGGGCAGAGGAATGCTAAAAGGGTGCCTGCATCATGGTTTCCATGGGCTGAAATTTGATTCAGAAGCCTCTAGTGAAAGTCACTGATTAATTCAAGATTAATTCAGTCAAATGTTGATGAATGCCCCCATAAATAGTCCAGCTGTTCAATCAGATCTTTGCAGAATAGTGCCGGTTGTGCATGCTTCCTTCCATTAGATTAAAGGAAACGGCTCAAGAACATGACAAAGAGTTCCAGTTGCTTTGCTTAGTAGTATATTCAGCTTTTTTCTCCTTGGTATCCACAGATAAATCAGCAATAATTCAACTATTTGGAACTAGGATTTCTTTTGAGCCTGATCCCATTAATTAAATAGCTTGCTCCATTGTTTTCACATTTCTATCACATCGCTGAGGAAAATCACATTTGGATTTATTAATCTTTCCAGAATGTCATAGCGTATGAAGTATTGTACATGAATTGATGAAATTTCTGCACAGGGCTGAAGCATTCATACCATAGCTGGTATTCAGTAGGTTCTGACCAGTTCTGGAGAACCGGTAGCGGAAATTTTGAGTAGTTCAGAGAACCGGCAAATGCCACCTCTGACTGGAGATTTTACAGTACCCTTCCCCTGCCACGCCCACCAAGCCACGCCCACAGAACTGATAGTAAAAATTTTTTTGAATCCCACCACTAATTCATACACTGGGTTACTGTTTGTGCATTTTTGAATTAAGCTGAGATAGTTGGCATCAGACAATTGTCCACAACAGTATTGAATTTGGAATCTTAAGAATATTATTGTTACATATGGCTGAATGTCCTCCATGCAAGGCCCACAAGACTAGAGAACAGTAGTTGATGATGGCATTACAGAAAGTATGTTGATGGGACTTCCTTGAGTGTTGAAGAAGTCAATATTTCCCTGTTCTCTCTTGCAGATAGTCAGTCTGATCAAGAAAATACAGGTGCAGGAAATGAAGCACTCGACTTGACCTCTGGGGAGAGAGACCACCTGGAGGAAGCAACCGAGTTTCTAGAAGAACCTGAGTGCAGTCCTAAAGAAGAGGAGAAGATGGAGTTGTTATCCCAAGGAGAAGAGGCTGCGCGAGGGAAGTTAAGTGAGGGGGAAGACGAGCCAGAAGAAGATTCAGTCAGCAACAGAAGTTTGGACCTCAATTTTGCTAGCAAGTTCATGGAATTCAAGCTGGCTGAGAATGATCAAAACCCAGGCAACGGGGCTCAGTCTGAAAACAAACACACCTGTGATACATGTGGGAAATCCTTCAAATTTGCCGGTACCCTTAGCCGGCACAAAAAAACCCATGCACATGACGACAGGAAAGATGAAAAGAGCAGCGAGGATGAAAGTAAACACGCTCAAAGCGGAGACCAAGCCTACGTCCCTATCGTGCAAGAGGACCCACCTCTTGAACAGGAAGAGCCTGGAAAGGACATTAAGGGTGTCGAATCCCCCACAGATGGTGAGGCAACAGGAAAGGAAAACGAGGAGAGCGAAAGCATTTCTGAGGGAGAAAGCACGGAAAGAAAATCTTCTGAGAAGAGCGATGAAGACCGGAAGCCAAAGCCTGGTGCGGGCACTAAGAGTGAATCTAAGGCAGACAAAAGGAAAAAAGTCTGTACAGTATGCAACAAGAGATTTTGGTCTCTGCAAGATTTGACTCGGCATATGAGATCTCACACAGGTACATGGGGGCGGGGGGAGGGCACTGGGGACTATTTGTGGTAATGTAATTTACTCTGTGATAGGATATATTCAGAGGCTCCAGATAGAATCCATAAGATGTTTAGTTAAACTGAGGAAACTCACTGTTTTTTAAAAAAACCCGGCTGTTCAGAGGCTGCTGAACTTAGGTGGGTCTGACAGATTCTGCATAAGGCAAAAACCTGTAATTTTAAGTGTTTGATTTGCCTTGCACGCTGAATAATATGTAGAACTAACTTCAGGTTTCTGGCCCTGTGCAGTTTGAAATATTTGGAGCAACATAAAGAATGAAGGTGGCAATTTTCCAAAATTCTTTATTTTAGCATGAAATCATGTTGAGGCCACTTTTGCAAACTTAACGTTAGGATCCTGCATAAATTCTTAGTACCGTGAACAGTAGGACATATAAGTGAGATGAATATTCTAGTACAGATAGTTTACCTGAAGTTTGCAGGCTGTTTGGTTTTTCCCCCTCAGAAGTTCAGTATTTATTAGCAAGTTGTGCCTGTATTTCAAGAGATTTGTAGTTTTGTACAAAGCCACTCGGTCTGAGATTCCATGTCAAATGATGGCAGCTCAGTTGGAATTGAAGGCCACGAAATAGGGGAAAATCCCAAGTACAGGTAGTCTTCAACTTGAGGCCACAATTGAGCCTCAGATTTATGTTGCTAAGTGAAACACTTGTAAAGTGAGTTTCACCCCATTTTACAACCTTTCTTGCCACATGCAAATGTGAATGACTGCGGTTGTTATCACACAACTCCGGGACATTTGAACCGTCACAAGTACGAATCAATTGCAAAGTATCAGTATTGGTTCACGTGACCAATGGGGATGCTGCAACAGTCGCAAGTGTGAAAAATGGTCCTGTCCCTTTTTTTTCAGTGCTGTTGTAACTTTGAACGGTCACTAAATGAACGTGTAAGTTGAGAACTGCCTGTCTTTACTTTCTCTGGGTTAGTTAATATACAGCCCACATACGGTCACACATATTCAAGATAATGGAGAAGCAATAGAGCAAGGAGACAATATTGCTATCTTTGCTTTGCTTAAAGCCAGCTGACTGGAGAATTCTGGGAGTTGAAGTCCACAAGTCTTAAAGTTGCCAAGTTTGGGGACCTCTGGCTTAAAGGGTCTTCAAGTTTCTCATGCCTTCAGTTGTTGGGTTCAGTATACAGTGCTTTTGAACGCTTGCATGAGTGGTCATGCCCAATCTTGGCTCTTTGCTGAAGTCAGGAAGCCAAGATAAGCCACTCTTGCAGGTGCTGTAGCTTAACTGCCTAGAAATGTGTCATTGGCAATCTTGGCAGAGAGGGGCCTTGTTTAAAGCTCTGTTAGGTAAGATTAAGCTCATGAGCCATGATGGGTTTTCCTTCTCTGTTCTAAGGAAGACAATATAGCTGGTTCTCTAATCTTCTCAACTACCAGTGATCCAGGCTAGACGTGGAGGTGATGATTGGTCCAAGAGATAGTGATTATCCAAGGTCACTTACTAAATTTCCTAAGCTGCTGTCTGGCAGTCATTCAGGGAGTTCCCTAGTTTAGCAATCTAATCACATTGACTCAGAATTAAGCAAGAGCTCTTACAATAGAGGGCCGTGGGTTTGTGAAAGACCGACAGCCTGCATTTCATTCTTTTTCTATCCCTCCTACTGGGAATTAAACTTAGCAAAAGAAGTTATTATTCTGCAAATATTAGTGACTTCAGTGATCTGCCTGGAGGAACAGTGAAGAATTTTATACGATGATTTAAAAACGGAGTTCGTCTCTCCCACATTTTAATGATTTGACATTACTGCTTAAAAATGAAGGAGAAACTCTATGAGGTACGATAGTTGCCCATCTTTTAAGCTAACATAGATTCTATAGAAAGTTTAAGCCAAATCTTTTGAAATTCAAGTAGCTATGATGACAAGGCATTTTTCTTTGTAGCCTCAAGAGACTCTCTTAAAAAAGTAAAAAGATAAAACTTAAGGTGAATCTAGGGAAAATGAAATGAAAACCAGTCGTAACAACTCATGAAGTGGCACTTCCTTTACGATCTAGCATTGAAGACCAGCTACTTTACTCCTTTGATAAAGGGGAGTGCTTCGTTTTACTTCCCATTTTTTTTAGAAAAGGGAAGCCAAATGAGACGAAGATAATGGAAACTGCATTTTTTCCTCTAAACTATGAAGCCCTTATATTTCCTTTAAGAAGCTGATTTTCCAGTCTCCTGTGTATTCAGTAGTCTCTATCTATCTATCTATCTATCTATCTATCTATCTATCTATCTATCT